TCATAAAAATCTTCAAGGTATAAGCTGGTGTTGATAGATAAGGGGATTGTGTTATACGGTTGAGGTTACAATTCAGAGTTTTCATTATAAGTCTACATTTGTGGTGATATATTTTGTCAAGGTATGAATTGGCAAGGTGAAGAATGATCAATTGTATTCGGTATTAGGCATGTGAAAGGACTTACACCTGGGTTGAGTAGTAAGTTTACTACTATTGATTGTTAAGTACCTAAGAAAGGTTTCATTTTTAAAAGTGTTGGTATTTAATAAGGTAAACAGTCGGAGTGTTTATGATGATTGTTAGTGTTGTGAGTATGATTCACTAGCTATGCTCTAGTGTATTTTCACTTTTGTGGGTGGATCCCTAGTGGTGGATTAGGGGGTACCAAATCCTGCGATGTTCTCTTGGTTGAATAGGAAGATTGGGAAGATTTGGTTATTTCGAATGACATAATTGGTGTTGTCTTGGAGTTTGTTAAAGTATTTTAGTTAGTTCTACATGTACCACCTTGCTTATAAGAATTTATAGAAGAGCTACCATGCGTATTTGTGGTTGTCCGGCAATCATATTATTCATCTAGTCATCAATGTCATATATCGATTATGAGTGGTTGAATGAGGGGATCATTAAGTCCAATTCAACTTTTCTTAAGAGGTAATCTACAATTACTAAATCTAGCATTTTGATAGTGTTGTTGGAGGGGTTGTATGTTTGGACATATCCCTCAATAAGTATCTGTTGTCTAAAGGCCAAATTTTTGTAACTTAAGCTTATGGAAATTTATGTTGTGAGAAGGAGATGTTGAGAAGAACTATGATTGTTTGAGTATTATGAGTGTGTGTTGATTGATTCAGGTTCACTTCTAATTGTAGCGAGTATTGATTTGAAATTTTATCATACTTAAGTGCTAAAAGATTCGTCTGAATGATTGCATCAAGGCCTTGATAACATGTTGCAGACGTGTGTACGATCAACCTTGGAGATTATTGAGAAAAACAATTATTTTTAGTTAAGTCTGCATATAACAATAATTATCACTCGAGTATTGTGAAGACTTCATTGAGACATTATATGGGAGGATATGTAGGTATTCCATTGGTTGGTTTCGGAGCGAAGATTATATCATAAGGTGAGACTCAGTGTTGTTAAACATGACTTTCGGTGTGAGGAAGAACCGGTCGAAATTCTTGATCACGATGTTTGGAAGCTAAGGACATGCTAGACAAGTATCCCCAGTAATTCGACGTTTCAGATACTACTCTACCCTTACTTCAGCCAGTCTTTCCTAGTTGATCACTCGGGGACGAGTGATGGGTAAATTGGTATCTATTATAATGACCTGATTCCGTCGTTAGAGAATTGGGGTCAGAAAACTTTTTGGTAGTAACTTGGGATTTCCTAGCCTAGTCCAAATTTGGATGAAATCGGAGTCAATAAGGTCTGAGGAAATCTGGTAGCAATTGGGTGATCTAATAATGATTTTGATCACATGAGTAGATATTTAAGGCGTTAAGGAATCTGTACGACTTTACGGAATTGAATTCGGGGAAGTAGAACTCCCAAAATCGATCTTAGAATGAACAGTATTTTTTTAGTGTCGTTAGTTAAAGGTGTGTTGTGAAATGGGGGTCTTGGAATTATTAAAATAGCTCATTGGTTCCGTGGAAGCTGCTGGGGCGGGATTTCTGTCGCCAGGGTGGGGCCGCAGTAGCGTGTGAGGACTGTTGTGGCGGGTCCGATATGACTTAAGGTCGTAAATAAACCCTAAAACGTCTTTATTATGCACTTTTTAATTTTGAGAGCTAGGAGATGACCCAGACGAGTTCTTGAGCATTTTCACCATTCTTGTAGCTAAAGGTAAGATTTTAACTCCCCGAATCCGTGTTTCGATCCGTAGAACTTAGTTTCTTAGGTAGTTATCGATAGGGGAGAGTTTTGATCTGCAATTTATGGTGGGAAAAAGCCCTATATTGGGTATTATGATCTTGGGTTTGGTCTAGGGTTATTGGGTTTGTTATAATTCGGATAATATACCTTTGATTGTTGATCCTATAAATTGTTGCTTTTAGACCACGAACAAGCGGGAAGAATCCGGAAAGGGAAGATTCAAGTGCCTTAGGGGATTCATGCTTGGACTTGAGGTAGGTGATGGTTGTGATTTCATGTTGGTGTGATATATGTTCGTAATTACTTCATTAAAATACGTGTATGTATGTGAATGTTGCACTATTGATCACACTACTTGTGGATGAGGATAATTGAATAATTGTATTCTATGAATCACCTCTTGTTGTATGATTGTGAGAATATACATTGTGATTGTGATTGTGGTTTGTTGAATGGATCAGGTGTTGCGTTCCGACACACTAACTTGGATCGGTTGCCACGTTCTGGTATAAACAATGGATCGGATACCACATTTCGGTATGCTAACAGTTTGGGTGTGGGTTCCATGAGAGGACCATTGAATTGGGTTCCGTGAGAGGACCATTGAATTCTGTTGTGTATCTACTTGTGATGATTTGGTTCATATCTAATGATGATTGATATAGGAAGACGATATGTTGCTCTAAATTGATATTACTGTGATATGTGAGAATCGTGAAACTGTTCGTTGTTTGTAATAGTTGACTAATATTGTATATGTTCGGTATATGCCTGTTTTATAAGGTTGTGGTTACTTGCATGTGTTTCTCTTATTGGGATAGCCGCGTGATCCTACCAGTACACTGTGGTTGTGTACTGATACTGCACTTGCTCTTTCTTTGTTGAGTACAGGGCATCTTCATGCGGCTATTGATAGACCTCACCTAGGTGTCTGTTGAGCGTGATCAGATTCAAGGGTGATCCAGTTCTTTCAGGCTGCCATGGATCTTTCTTGTTTAAGTCCACTCTTTCCAGACTCAGACTATTTGTTTAAGGTGTTTGTTTAATTTCGGGGTTGTAACCCCTTGTTCTTAGACTTGTCGTTAGTAGAGTTTTGGTACAACGATTTTCAGGTTGTAGGGGTTGTTCTTCCGCATTAGTTTGTTTAGTTGTTTGTTAAAACCTTGGAGTTTATGGAGACTCCATTTTTATAGGCATTTAAACCTGCTTCTATATATTTAAATGTCTTAGTTTTCATAAAATTTGTATTGTTTGGGTTGTAGTAATGGTTCTCCCACCTGAGGGTTTCTGTGGGTGCCAATCACAACAGTCTGGGTTGTGATAATGAATATGACATGAAAACCATTTAAGCGTTACAATATAATAAACAATGAAAGCAACATGAAAATAATATACTTTACTTGTGGGGAGTTTCTCTAACCGACAAGAATTACCATGAGCCTAGCAATGTACAACATTTCGCCTATGTTGCCAGGGCCATCTTGTACTTTGTCGGGGTATAGGATGATATCGTGACTATGGATACATATGATTGGCCTTCTCAGAGGAAGAGATGAGTCGGATGAAGAATCAATGCTACCCTATCCTACGTTAGCTACGTAGTTTTATGGGACTTCTGAATCATAAGAGACTCTAACCCAACTCGGTGCTTCATACTACTCCCAAAATAAGTGATATAACTTTATGCTCAAACCCCAGTACAAACAATGAACTTCTTACATTATTTGAAATACTTTTCAAAACATGACACATGTTTACATTCTTGAAAACATGCACTTATAAACTTATCATTGAAGTCCAATAATAAACATAGGTACATATTTATAAATGACATGTGAAACTTTTAACTGTTTATGAAATATAACTTTTGAAATTTCCTCTTATCTTACGTTAATTTAAAATGTATATGAAGACATGCGAATGTGACATGAAGACTTTCTCAAGGATTAACGAAGACTTTAGAAGTAAAAATCAAGAAGAAAAAATAGGTATGATTCCAAAGAATACATACATAATGAAGGACGGAAGAGAAAAGGTCATGTGACCCTAACGTATCGATGGTGTGACGCGGAGAGGGAATTAAAATTTTGGTCACGGAAAGACTTTTGAGGCAGAAGACTTTGTATCCTCTCGGCATCGCGGAAAGGGGGTGATCGGTTGGATATGGAAATTTCATGCATCTTCGCGACGTGGCCCTAGACTCAAATAATTGGACGATTTCTTTCTTCCTCTTCCAAACTAACTTTAATTAAAAAACCCAATGGAATTTAATTGAAATCCCACTCAGATTTTATCAACAAACACCACTCATTCGCTATACCCTCACCTCAAGAACTCAAAACCTCAATTGTTAAATAATGGGGTTAAAACTCAAGAACTCTTCAATAATACTTACATAAAAAAATTCTTGCACAATTTAATGAAAGATTCACATGATTGGTGTGAGGGGAAAGCCAAATCTGTCACTATGAGAAACATCACATACTTTGAAGAACAATGTTCTTGAAGAGACTTGAAGGAAAATCTTGGAAGATGAACCCTAGCCTTAACAGTTTTTGAAGTTCCTGAGTGTAGAATTTAGATGTGAATTAGAGGGTTTAATTTTGAAAAAAGATTTTTCTACGAGTTTTGGGTAATTTAGATGGCTTGCCAAGGGTTTTTAGGATTAAAGTACCATTAAAAAATAATAAAACTAGCTGGAAGTCGGGATATTTTTCCAGCAGACAGTGAGGTCGGTATTCGCTCCGTAACGCGGAGACATCACAGGGTTGTTGCAAGGTTAGAGCGTCTCCAGTAAATCAGTCATATCTTTTTAATCAAAACTCAGATTGAGGCAAACTTGGTGGTGTTGGACAGAAATCTCAAAGACCTTCGATTTGATACCTCATGGGCTACCTAACTCTTTATGTTCTAAAAGATATGGTAGTTTGAAGTTGACCCATAACTTGAAAACTGACCAAATTTAAAGGTGCTACAATATCTCCTCCTTAGGGATATTCATCCTCGAATGAGATCGCACTAAGTTGAATAAGGGGGGAAAGCATTTAACCACCCCAACTCGAGCACACAACATGCAATATACATAACTAAGTATATCAACTTAAAGAGTACTTTACAAAGAGTAAGTACCATGGTTAAAAATTTCTCCGGAACGAAAGAGATGTGGGTGTCTCCTCTTCATATCTTCCTCAGCCTCCCAAGTAGCTTCCTCAACATATTGATTCTTCCTTAAGAACTTGGCTGATGCAACCTCTTTGGTTCTCAATTTGTGAATCTGACGATCAAGAATCTGAACGGGAACCTTCTCATAAGATAGGTTGTCCTTGATACCATTATTCTCAGTAGGTACAATGAGTGAAAGATCACTCAATAACTTCTTTAACATGGATACATGGAACACCAGATGAACTTCTGCTAATTCTGAAGGCATCTCCAACTCATAAGCTACCGTGTACACCCTCTTGGATATCCTATAAGGACCAATATACCAGGGACTGAGTTTTCCCTTCTTACAAAATCTCATAACACCCTTCATGGGTGAAATATTTGAGTAGAACCAATCATCAAACTCAAATTCTAAGTCTCTTCTCCTAACATTTGTATAGGATTTCTGAAGACTCTGTGTTGTTTTTAGCCTTTCCTGAATAATATTCACCTTCTACATGGTTTGATTAACCAAATTTCGCCCTATCAACTCAACTTCACTAAATTCAAACCAACCAATAGGCGATCTATTCTTTTTCCCATAAAAATCTTCATTAGGAGCCATCTGGATACTAGAGTGTTACCTATTATTATATGCGAACTCTATGAGAGGCAACTGATCAGCCCATTTACCTTTGAAGTCTATGACACATTCCCTCAACATATCTTC